CTTCACCACCGACAAGGCATTCCAAACAGTTCAAATCATTTCAGCTGCAGGACAACCTTTAAGGGGGGAAAATTGAAAACGGTAAGAGCTACAGGATCAGTCAGAACAAACTTTGCAGTTCCCGAAACTCAGTTTTCATCATAACCCTTTTAAAATAGTCCCTTCTCCTACACTTCTTATAAGACTCCGATTGTTTTCATGCAGTTAAGAGGCAAATATCCTGAAGCTCTCCAATAAAGAGATAAATTAATGTAAAATCCCACTTGCATGGTTAGACAAAGGAAGTTCTCACCAACAGTCATGTCCAAGAAGGAAAAACAAATACAGCAAGGTTTTTTTTTATCACCCTTAGTTAAATAACTACTTTGAACTGAAACAGCTGAACGTTCTTAACATTAACAAGTCTTCCTATCACATCTGAACAAAGTGGGCACTCTCCATCCACAGAGCTTCCCCCATCGCCTCACTCCAGGAGTCCAACTGTTATCATTCAGTCTGTATGGTCTACAATGGATCCTTCCCACAGCTCCAAATCAGACTCTTATTGTGCAATGATATATAGTGGATCCAGGCCAAGCGTCAAAACAGGGCTTACTCTTGTCAGTTGCTGACCAGTGAGAGCCGCCAGGGGGCCCACTCCCAGTTGCAGCTTCTGCCAATGAGAGAAGGAGTCTCCCTGCCTCCCTCCTCCCGCTTCCCTCCTCCCGCCTCCATCCCTGGCTTAGCCACTTTAGAACACCAGAGGGAGGACACACAATCCCTCTAACTGAGCTATTGTGTATCCAAACACTGAGAAAGATTGATAAGCAGTTATGTTGGTCTGTAATTCCAAAATCAACACAGCAAGTGTCTCAGTTCCCAAGAGATCTTCATCAGGATGGTATGGGAAGGAGGGAGCGTTTCAGGGCCTGATGAAGACGCCTATAGTTTGCAGTCTTAACATGGAATGCAGGATGCATTACAGACTTAACTGAATTACATGGCACTGAATGTAAAGTAGGTTTCAAGATACTATGAAGCAGGCCCATAGCCAGAAAATTTTTATTGGGGGGAGGGGAATGAGTACAGTAATGGTGAGCATGTCAATATTTATTTACTTTATTATGAATGAGCTATGATGTACTGCAAAATCTTTACAAGAGATCATCAGGGCTCTTTTCGTATCAGGAACTCCTTTGCATATTAGGCCACACACCCCTAATGTAGCCAATCCTCCAAGAGCTTACAGAGCTCTTCTTACAGGAGCTACTGTAAGCTCTTGGAGGATTGGCTACATTATGGGTGTGTCGCTTAATATGCAAAGGAGTACCTGCTACAAAAAGAGCCCTGCGCAGCGCTCCATTTTGTCTAACACCAAATATCCCCTTATGTTATTGACACGTGATGAACAGAGTTTTGTAAAGGCATGAAGATCCCCACTCCCATATTGTCCCACTTCCACTTTCCTGGGTTGCAATGTGGCAAATGGGACTCTCCATCACCAATATATGACCATAAAAGTGTCTGTTTCTTCCTATGGACATGAAATGAGGCTTTGTTAACAAAAGAACGTGCATTTTTTTTAATGGATTGCCCCTCGGATTCCCAGTACCATCTTCCAATGAACTCATCTTCCCCACAAAAAAGCCCCAAACCCTGCCCTGGTCTGGCTCCACATAACTTGCTGTAAGGACTTAAGGATGGCTACAGGCACACCGGCTTGGATGCAACAGTGTTGCCAACCTCCAAGTAGTGCCTGGAGATCTCCCAGAATTACAAGTGATCGCCAGGTGATCATTCAAACCCCATCTTTCTCCCCAAAGTGGACTCAAAGTGGCTTATATTGTTCTCCTTGCTTCCGTTTTGTTTTTTTAAAAAACCTCCACACATGTGTGTTCTGTTCTTTATTGCCTGCTTTCAGCAACACAATGGATTCTATTAAACCCCATGCTGACTTCAAAGATCTCCAAAACCTAGAATGTCACCAGCAGCATTATCAAGATACAAGCACTCCAGAGCCTCAATCTAGTCTTTTCAGCAATCTCTGGAGAAGCAGCGATCACATCTTGTGGTTACAATTACAGCATGACTCCCCACTTCTCCAACAGGGCCAGCTAACGGACAAAACTGAAAAATTCAAGATCAATAAAACATTCTGATAGAGAAGGACAGAAACATGCTTTGTATATTTGTCTTGAAAGCTTTCTTTAAAGTTATAAATGCACACAAATTATAATACAAACAAAGATCTGTTGTTGGCTAATATGGACTTACATTGTATGCCCACTTAAGATTCTCTGCAAACAATTATTTTCATGCATTATCAGCTACACTATACTCCAACGAAGACAGCAAAGTTATGTGGGCTTCAGCTCTCTAAGGACAATTTTGCTTCTCCTTCACAATCCATGAGACACTCTCACATTGCTAAAAAACAACCCACCTTCCACACAGGTAAAGGCAAATGCAGAGAGGCCAGTCACAAGGCAAAAAGAGGTGGAATGCTTATAACTGTCTAATGGTGATGGCAGAATATGTTTTTTTTTAATATGATGTGCACACACAAGCTTTGACTAATTTATTATGTTCGATTCAGTAGGCATTTTACTCATCTTTAAACTTCTGATGGTTTCAAGCTCGTCATTGCTATAAAGACAACTGTTTGTTTATTCTTACAGTGGTCAACCCCCCCCCCCATGTGAAGGCCCACTTTGTGGTTGTCAAGTCTGCTTGGCTGTGGGACCCCCCTCTAGTTTGCCATTTTCAACCTGACACAATTAACTGAAAACATATTTCATAGCATCTAGCACAAGAGCTTACTCTTGGCAGAGAAACACATTTCCTATGAAGTTTATTGACTTGGTCTATGAAAACTGTTGTCCAGCACTGATCCATGAATGTTGAGCAAAGCAGACAAGGAATGTTCACACTTAGGAGGTAACTTGCCTCTGCTTGCTAGTGGCACAAGAAGACAAAGGTCAATGTATCTCCAGGGTCTCCAACGGCTTTTAAACTTGGCACTGGTGACTTCTTAGAGATGCTGCAGCAGAGTATCAAAGCTGTGTTCCTTTTCATTGGCCATAAATTAGCTATAATGCATTTTTTGTTTATTCTTGTTCAGTGTAGATCAGGAGTGAGACTCTCAGCAGGAGTCTGATAGAGTTCTTGGTCTCCCGTCACTTTTCTGTATAGACTTCAATTTGTGGAATACGGGCAGATTTCTTCACCACCGACAAGGCATTCCAAACAGTTCAAATCATTTCAGCTGCAGGACAACCTTTAAGGGGGGAAAATTGAAAACGGTAAGAGCTACAGGATCAGTCAGAACAAACTTTGCAGTTCCCGAAACTCAGTTTTCATCATAACCCTTTTAAAATAGTCCCTTCTCCTATACTTCTTATAAGACTCCAATCGTTTTCATGCAGTTAAGAGGCAAATATCCTGAAGCTCTCCAATAAAGAGATAAATTAATGTAAAATCCCACTTGCATGGTTAGACAAAGGAAGTTCTCACCAACAGTCATGTCCAAGAAGGAAAAACAAATACAGCAAGGGTTTTTTTTATCACCCTTAGTTAAATAACTACTTTGAACTGAAACAGCTGAACGTTCTTAACATTAACAAGTCTTCCTATCACATCTGAACAAAGTGGGCACTCTCCATCCACAGAGCTTCCCCTATCGCCTCACTCCAGGAGTCCAACTGTTATCATTCAGTCTGTATGGTCTACAATGGATCCTTCCCACAGCTCCAAATCAGTCTCTTATTGTGCAATGATATATAGTGGATCCAGGCCAAGCGTCAAAACAGGGCTTACTCTTGTCAGTTGTTGACCAGTGGGAGCCGCCAGGGGGCCCACTCCCAGTTGCAGCTTCTGCCATTAATTCCAAAATCAACACAGCAAGTGTCTAAGTTTCCAAGAGATCTTCATCAGGATGGTTTGGGAAGGAGGGAGCGTTTCCGGGCATGATAAAGAAGCCTATAGTTTGCAGTCCTAACATGGAATGCAGGACTTAACTGAATTACATGGCACTGAATGTAAAGTAGGTTTCAAGATACTCTGAAGCAGGCCCATAGCCAAAAATGTTTTACTGGGGGGAGGGGAATGAGTACAGTAATGGTGAGCATGTCAATATTTATTTACTTTATTATGAATGAGCTATGATGTACTGCACAATCTTTACAAGGGATCATTCTACAAAGAAGGTTAAAGGATAGTCCATTTTGTCTAACACCAAATATCCCCTTCTGTTATTGACACATGATGGAGTTTTGTAAAGGCCTGAAGATCCCCACTCCCATATTGTCCCACTTCCAGTTTCCTGGGTTGCAATGTGGCAAATGGGACTCTCCATCACCAATATATGACCATAAAAGTGTCTGTTTCTTCCTCTGGACATGAAATGAGGCTTTGTTAACAGAAGAACGTGCATTTTTTTTAATGGATTGCCCCTCAGATTCCCAGTACCATCTTCCAATGAACTCATCTTCCCCACAAAAAAGCCCCAAACCCTGCCTTGGTCTAGCTCAACATAACCTGCTATAAGTTTGGTGTAGTGGTTAAGTGCATGGACTCTAATCTGGGAGAACCGGGTTTGATTCCCCACTCCTCCACTTGCACCTGGCTGGATGACCTTGGGCAAGCCATAACTCTGGCACAGCTGTTCTTGAAAAAGAGCAGTTTCTGTCAAGCGCTTTCTCAGCCCCACCTACCTCACAGGGTGTCTGTTGTGGGGAGGGGAAGAGAAAGGAGTTTGTAAGCCGCTCTGAGACACCTTTGGGTAGTGAAGGGCGGGGTATAAATCCAATCTTTTCTTCTAATTCTATAAGGACATGAGGATAGCTACAGGCACGACAGCTTGAATGCAACAGGGTTGCCAACCTCCAGGTAGTGCCTGGAGATCTCCCAGAATTACAAGTGATCGGCAGGCTCCTGGGGAAAATGGCTACTTCAGAGGACAGACTCTATGGCGTTATACCAGATTGATGTCCCTCCCCCACCTTCCCCAGGCTCCATCCCCCAAATCTCCAGGAATCTGCCAACATGGAGTTGGCAACCCGAGGAAGTCTGTGCACTTCCTTCGCAGCTACAGCCTGCCTGGCCTGTAGGGGAAGGGCGGCTTTTTTGCTTAACGCAGATGGGAAGAGAAGCTGGGGAGGCTCCCCTCTACAGATACAGGGACTGACTCCCCCACCCTTTGCTGTGATGCCCCAATCCACTGTGGGTGCAGCACCCCCCCCCCCCCCCGCCAAGTGTTCTCAAGGGCCAGAACAGCTGCATGCTAAGGTGGGGAAAGGACTGTGTCACATGCTTCAGGGCACAGCAGAGTCAACTACTTTGTGCAGGAAGCAAAGTGCAAAGGTAAAGCCTGGGAGGGAGGAGGCAAAGAGACTCTTTCACTCACTGGTAAAGCCTGGGAGGGAGGCGGGAGGAGGGAAGGACAATCTCTCCCTCACTGGCAAAGCCTGGGAGGGAGGTCAGAGGAGGGAAGGAAACACCTTCTCTCATTGGCAGAAGGCTTGTGACAGATTTCACAACAACCTCTAGTGCTGACTGGAGGGGCACGACAAACTATTGGTGGGGCCATGCCCCTTTGTGCCCCACCGTGGCTACAGGCCTGCTCTGAAGGAGGATATGGAGGTATCTTTATATGCATATGTGCAAAGGATCGGAGACTTGTAAACATTACAGAGATACTGCTGCCAGCATCAGCATTTGACAAGGTGACCCAACTGATGAAGTTAGAGCTCAATAGGTCTGTCACCATCTCTGTAATGGTGGACAGCACTCTGGCATGTTCAGTCTGTACAGTAAAGACCAGAAATTGGGGTGCCTTTGCCTATACCTTTGACAGTGGAAAGCTGACACAGACCTGAGGTGGCTTGGTGCTACTTGGTCAAGCTCCAAGATCTGCTGCCCATAAAAAAGACTGACATTGTCTGACACATTCTTGGGATTAGCAAAGCCTGAGATTACATTCTGAGGTAATTTGTAATTGCAGGTTTTTGCTGAAATCCTAACAAAAGTAATTTTTAAAATAACATTCAAAAGCTAGCTGGGACTTTGATCGTTCAAATAAATTGGACCTTTTCTATTGCTTCTATTTGATTCTTTTTCCAATGAACTGATATGACCTACGAGATCTGATTTTTCCATTGCAAGTGTAAACCAAACAGCATGCAATCCCATTCTTCCGATGTCATAGCAACACATGACCCTACCCAGTAATTGCCAGCCTTTGCATTGATTTACCAACAACATGTACTACGTTGGGATGGGAGAGTGTTAGTGGAGAATCATTCAATGACAATAGTGTTCAAAATGGAAAAATTCATTACTCAGCCTTGATCTAGAGTATAATTTGTAATTCTGAGCAAGTCACTATAGCTTTGTCTATTTTACCTCTCAGGGATCTTTAGAGATATTTATTTACTTCATTCAAACCCCATCTTTCTCCCCAAAGTGGCTTATATTGTTCTCCTTGCTTCCGTTTTATTTTTAAAAAAACCCTCCACACGTGTGTTCCGTTCTTTATTGCCTGCTTTCAGCAACACAATGGATTCTAAGCACCATCCTCACCATGGACCAACACTTCCCAAAAAATACAAGTCTGGGAGCCAGAAAAGAAAGGTAAAAACTTTACCGGGGGGGGGGGACCAAGGCACTGCAGGCAATTACTGTTTAGGACAGGTACGGCAAGAGGAGAAAGGGACTGTAACAAAGGGAAAATGGGGCCCAGTTATAGTTTTTTGCCCAGGGCCCATAAAACCTGTAATTGGACCTGAGTGGATCCACGAAACAATAGCAACAGGTCAAGGCAGACCTTTGCATTCAGGGCACTACTGCTAGAGTCACTGGAGAGACTTTTTTTTTTTTGGCAGTTTCAGAGTCAAAGCAAAACAGAATACATACTTTATTAGCGGCTTCCAATGCACTGAGCAGGTTTTGTAGTTCCTCCTTATTCATTTCTATAGAGTACTGCTTCATGTCACCATTCTCTGACACATCCAGGTCAAGATTCAGAAGTGGCATTTGCAACATGGAGAGCTTATCACTAGACAGGGCAAGCTGAAGGGCAAAATAAAACAAATTCGGATCAGTTATAAAGCAGTCCTTTACAGTAAATGAGCCTTGCTTGAACTGATATTTTAAAAGCTGCCAATAGTGCTCCTCTTCATAGTTACCCCTTCAGCCACACATAAAGTCTGGTGACAAACATGCAGTTCTGAGCAGCTGAGCTTCTTTGTGGACTGAATCAATACTCTTCACGCACAAAACTATTTCTGTTTGACCAAGTAATTAAATAGTAAGGAAACCTAACCTAAAGATAATTTGGGGGTTAAAGTTATGGTAAGGTACTTTTGCAGTTTCAGATTTAACCCCTCCCAGTCATGCTTAACATTAGGCCAATTAAGTTGCCCACCGTAGATCTAAACAAAAAGCGACATATTGTAGTCACGTAATATGGATACAGGGCAGAAAATTATGTACAGACACTGTCCATTGAACTGGCTTGCCACAGTCTGTGTTCCCTGGCTACCCAAGCGCTGCAGATTTTTTTCCTAGATATTCTTACACAAGCAGTCATCTAACCTTTAGCTGCCAGTCAAAATCCTGGAGCTGTGCAGAAGAGATGGCATTGGTTCTCTCAATCAGTGCATGCCTGATATCGGGCTTTCTAGCTTTCAAGCAAGTCACTACTGCTTTTTGAGAATCGGAACTCAGCTCACTCAACTGCTGAAGAGCCTAGAAACAAGAAAAAAAATTGTCATTTTTTTTTAAGCTGAGGCACTTTCAAGAAAAATAAAAGGGGCACAGAGATAACTAGATGATATTTTTTAGTTCATTACTCTTAGTATTGTCTAAAATCATCAGCTGCAGTCCGACAGCCAGGAATCATACACGCACACACCTCTGCATGCACAGAGTGACTCTGAGTCCCCAAGTAATCATGGAACAGCAAGCAGCTGAGAAGAAGCAGCAGGCACAGATGTTCACATGCTCTGCTACAAAACCCTCAAGTATCCAGCTGTACACTTCAAAGCCAGTCTGAAAGAGGGAAGTGCTGTGTGGCAGATTGTGAAAAATAAGGCTAGAAACAGCAGGGAATCTATCATCACAGGGCATAACTTGCAGCCAACAAGTTTGTTGCTGTAGTTCCTTGGGGGAGCGGCTTGCTTTGCCTTCAAATGTCTGCATTCGTCGCTTCCTCTCAACTGCCTGTTTCGCCAAGATTTTTTGAGGATTCTGAGTGTCTCTGACAGTACAGGGAAGTGTGTGTGTGCCTAGTTCCTGGCTGCAGAATTATATGATCCTGCTTAGTAGTGCAGGCACAAACCAACAAAGTCAAATACTTTTCAATCCTGCTGATTATTCAGTATGCTGTTTAGGTCTCTCGTTGAAATCTGTGGGACTTCAAAGACCTGACTGCGGTTGGATTACACCCTGGCAACTTTGCCTATCTACTCTGAAAGTAAAAGTGGACCATGTCTTTCCCCCATCCCTCAATCATGTGGTGTTTTAAACTCAGGCTATATTTAACAGGAAAAGACAAAAAGCACGATCTACTTGATAGTTCTTCTCTCAAAGCCTCTTCCACGCTTTTATTTGCTCCCATTCATTTCTGAACAGCTAGCACAGGGAGAACTTCACAGTGGATTGTGCTCATCTGGATTTTCCACCACAGTAGCTTGATTAATAGATGGTTCACAAACTCAGTTATGCCCTTACTGAAAGAAGGAAAAAACCTGTATAGAGAACCACCCAACCCAATCTATATAAATAGCTCGCAATAGTTAGAAGGAAATCCAACTCCCTTTTAAGGTCCTAGAGGAGCCCCTGGGGCTAATATTTAGGGACTAAAAATAAGCTACAGGAAATTCAAACAGGTTGGCTTGTATGTTAATGTATCCCAGAGGAAAAAAGCCTTTACAAATTCAATAATGCTACCTGTCATGGTAATTTAAATAAGCAATACATTTTACACTGGAGACCATAAAAGTAATTTAGAGAATATGTAACCTCTGCACAGCTACATGTGAAACCCAACTTGATGCCTGCTGAAGATGCATCAAGTTCCTTATATCTTTTCTATTAACAGATTTTCCTGTTGGATAAAATAGTTTCAGCTGAGATAAAAATCACATGCTTTCTTTACAGCTCATACCTCTTCATCAGAGAGATCTGCGCCAACTGTGCATTTAAAATATGTGGCAGCTTGTTCTAAAACTTCCATCCATTCTGTCAAATTCCAAACAGTGTTGTAGTCTTGGTAGCGAGGATATGCACGGCCACACACACTATCAACTACTTTATGGAGGAACTGGAAGAGAATGAGAAGAGAACATTTAAAGGCATTGTCATTTCTATTAACTTGTGTCACTGGAACAACAACAGGGCTTGGCTTTTTTTAGCTGTAGTACACACAACAGTGGAATGTGGAATGGTATAGTATATAGCCTGATCTCATCAGATCTCAGAAGCTAAACATAGTCATTACTTGGATGGGGGACTACCAAGAAACACTCTGCAGAGGAAGGCAATGGCAAACCATCACTGCTTTCTCTTGAAAGCCCCTTGCTGGGGTTGCCATAAGTTGACTGCAACTTGATAGCAAACACATATGTACACACAACAATAGAAAGCTGTGCAGTTACAAGTGTTAGATACAAACGCCCAACTGGATCTGGACATATCAGCTCTTTTAATATTGGACAGTTTAAAGCCAATACTTCCATCATTCCCAAATGATGTATTAGGGAGAAGAGAATTAAAAAACTAAAGACTCCTATGTACCGACCCACCTTCTACAGTGCAGTTATTTCATTCTGCTGCATGTTGCAAGTGGAAATTGCATGCATGCATACATAAATTTGCAAATCATCTGGGAGACGTGCTTCTGACCCCACAGACGACACTGAAAGGTACCACCGATTTCAATGGGAGCATTTATGAGCAAATTTGCTCAGTTGCATTTTTACGGTGAAAGTTCCATCAAAGGTAGGGTGTTCAAATATGTCTTCCCAAAAAATCTTGGTTGTGTAGCGTAGACAAATCACTGACAGCACTCTTTTCATACAACTGCAAAAGGCATTGTGGACACCTCCTTCAAATATAAGAGTACCCTCTCAAGAATCTTAACAGTCATAAAATTGGCTAACACTCTCAGAGAACTTCTCTTTGCAGAACCCAGGAGGACTTGTTCCTATGTATGCTGTGTTCCATTTTTCACAAGTTTCCATCAATATAGCTGAAACAGATGTCAGACTAACTTGCCTGTAATTTCCTGGAACCCTTTTCCGAAAATTGGCATTATATTTGCTATTCTCCAATCTTCTGGCAGGGAGTCGATTTTAATTACAAGTTGCATATTACAGTTAGAAGATCAACAATTTCACACTTTAATTCCATAAGAAACCTTGGGTGTATGCAAACCAGAGCCAGTGACTTGTTAGTTTAATATGTTAATTTTGAACGAGAACTTCATCTTGTGACACGTGTCCTGAAAACAGCAATTCTGATGTGGCTAACTGCCTCTCTACACCTTCCACGGCAAAGGATGCATTCAGCATCTCTACAATTGATCTCCCTTTAGCAATCAATCATCTCCTTTGGCATCTAAAGGCCCAACCATCATCCTTGATGGTTTTCTCTTTGAGTTGTAGTGACTCCACTGAGTCCTATGTTTTCCAAGACTTCCCATATTTGCTTCACGGTACAGGAAGGAACCATACTGCAGTGGTTCTCAATCCACCATGGTAAGATGATAGGAAAACCTCTCTGTTGGAAACACGGCAATAACAGATTGGCTAATGTTTTTATACTTCTGGTCAGGGCGGTGCAAGATGCCTCTCAAGCTCAAGAAGGACCAGTTTAATTAAAACTGCAGTGAATAATCTGAAGCCCGAACAGAGCAATCTAAAACAGGGTTCCAACACAAAGTAATGCTCCATCATGGCCAGGATTAATAGAATTGGTAAAACTGAACATAAGGAACAAAATGAGCTATTGTCCAGAAGAGACTGCGTCTAGTATGGATGCAGCAAAATGATACAGGCAAGATGGTTCTTTCGCCTGGTGGCACGCATGAGAGAATTCTTCCACAACACACATTTTGCACTGTAGCAATCCCATTCACCAACATGGAATACTGATGTAAACCAAGTCACGGGAGGGGGAAATGCCAAGAACAGAATGACTCATAGTCATTTGCTTGCCTGAAAGCAGCAAACTCTCTGTGAAAGGAATGCAGGAGGGGCAGCTGTCAAAAATCAGAAAGGCAAAGTTAATTATAAGAGAAAAACTCCCCACATGTTTCACTGATCATGGAGAGACTTTGCTCAGATGCTAGAAGCACATGTTACATCTCCTTATGATGACTCTTCTATTCAGATTCTTGCTCCACTGTAATAGTGTCTGTAGACAAATCATTCAGGCTACTTTGACATGGAGGTTTTCATCCATCCTGGTTTCCAAAGTGGAGTCCTTTACCTCCACACATTTTGCTGGAACAGTCCTGTTTCCAAGGCTTTCCCATCCACAATACGCTCCTCCCAAAATCTGTTTTACAACAATCTTTTGGAAAGAATGCAATTGAAGTGTGTTAGCATGCAATCTGGAAGGAATGGTATGGATCTTCCTCCTGCCCACGTTGGTGCCATTTTCTCTGCTGTCAGGCCCTCACAAGCACCAGAGTGTCAGCTAAGCTGCCAATAGTATGGGATATGTTTTCCTTTCACGTGCATTCTTTCCCTTGCGCTTAATTGCGTCTTCGCTGCAACGCATATCTCTCAAGGCCACTGGAGGAGTTGCTGTGTCTCTGAGCAACAAGAGACTTGGGAAGCTTTTTACCTGTTTTGCTTTTTGCAGCTGTTAGTTCTCAGCCTATTACCCGCACGCGGGAATTCATGTAATTAGGTGCTACGTGGGTGTGTGTGTGTGCATACGAATGCCCTATAACCTATTATGCGCATAGATCGCCCGCCATTCCTAACAGTGTTCATGTTACTGTATCTATAGTAAAGGTAAAGGTTCCCTTGCTCGAAAGCCAGTCGAATCCGACTCTAGGGTTGCGGTGCTCATCTCCGTTTCAAAGCCGAAGAGCCAGCGCTGTCCGAAGACGTTTCCGTGCTCATGTGGCAGGCATGACTAAACACCAAGGCGCACGGAACGCTGTTACCTTCCCATCGAAGTGGTACCTATTTATCTACTTGTAATTTCTTGCTTTCGAACTGCTAGGTTGGCAGGAGCTGGAACTAGAGACGGGAGCTCACTCCGTCATGTGGCACACTCGGGTCTCGAACTGCTGAACTACCGGCCTTCCACAGCCTGCAGTTCAGCGTCTTAACCACTTGAGCCACCGCAGCTCCTACTGTATCTATAGCTTTTCAATAAAAGTAAAACCTTCCTAGAAGCATGTACTTCGTTGTTTTGCTGTGGGTCCTGACACACAGTCCCAACGTATTTTTCCTGCTGCGCCACTGGAGAGATTTTTCAAGTTTTTAAAAATCAGTTAATTGCTACAGCACTATCACAATCCATTTTGATAACAATATAATGGCTCTATTAAAATCTGAATAAGTAACAATAGGTTATTACAACGTTATACCACGTTATAATACTATATTTAATTTTATTCATTTGGACCCCACCTTTTTACACAATGACTCTTTGCTGACTCTTTGCTTGATAAAAATACCAAATTTCTTGTCTCTACACTGGCTGCTTCTGCTCGCTTGGTCATTGCCAGGAATTGGAAATCCTTCACGGGATGCTTGCTCAAAAAATGGCACCAGAAAATCTGGGAACAATTTTTGATGGGTAGGATTATGCACAATCCAATTTTTTGGGGGGGGGACTTACGTACAGTAGTTCCTTTATTTGAATATGACAAAATATGGAAACCAGTCTTAGAATTTCTATGTGCTAATGATGGAATTCCCTCAACACAATACAGTTTAGATGGTTGAACATTGTGATTTTCAGTTCTGTAACATTTTGCTAATTGATGGGACGTCCAATAACCAATGATTTTTTTTTTTTAAGAGTGGGGATTGGAACCCGGGTCTCCCAGATACTAGTCCAACACTCTTAACCACTACACCACAGTGGTTCTATGGCACTGTATTTAGCTACTGCCACTTATCTATTTCACATTTTAACATTTAACAGTTAACAAAACTATGCATGGAAAGGAGGAGGCAATGTTGCCACGGCCTCTGCAAGGATCATGCCAATGCACAGTCCCTGCAAAGCACCTGTGGAAGCCCCATCACCAACACCCAGGCCTCTGCATTTGCAGTGGCAATGAAAGCAGCACTAAGAATCTGTCCTGTGGAATCAACCTCTGTCTCCAAGGCCTTTCAAGAGAGTGAGGTGGAAGAGCCCTCAGGGGGCAGAATGGACAGCTCCCTTTCAGACTGCAGCTGGTAGATTCCAGCTTATAATGTTATTTTGCAACTCCACACACACAAAAAGACCTTACACAGCACAGACAAAATCTCTCCCTTGCCTTTGTTTGCGATGTGGGGGGGCTGAGCACAAAATATTCCAAAATGCATCCTTCCACGTGTAGTCTGAAGTGATGCAGTGCATTCTACCATTTTGTCCTCCTACCACCTCATCCTCCTGTATATGTGAACTACACAGTTCAGGCAAACTAGAGCAACTACTACATTTTTACTCATTATATATTTATTTCCCAAGTGTGGCCACATCTGTGGATATCTAAATCTACCCAAAAAAGATTTTTCTGCAAACTTGGGTGACCCCCCCCCCCAAGTTTGCCAAGAACTTTGATATCTTTAAAAAAATACACAGGGAGTACTCCCCCCAAAAGTAAAATAGCATTCTCTGAGCTACTGTAGTTGTAGTTACTAAGCTATAACAAGGTTATAGATAAGTGGATAGATAGATGCCATCACCTGAAGTTCATGCATCTGATGAAGTGAGGTCAAATCAGATAATCTTTTGTTTTTAATATAATACTTTTACATTATTAACGTAAATAAAATAAATCATAAAATGCATGCATTAAAATAAATTTCATCTCAAGAGTCTGCAGTCTGGTGTAACAAGACACAACAAGGAAGGAGAAAGAATCTTTTAAATCACCAAATTATTCCTCTTTGTTTCAGTTTCACAGGGATGTACCAAAATATAACTGGAACATGCCAATGTAAAAAACAGAAATCCTCAACAAGCAAAGAAACCGTTAATTCTCAAGAGTGAAATTATTTGGTGAGGCAGACAATTTCTCATTATAAGACAGAGGCCTTTCACTAACCATTTACCCCCAAAAGTAGATGAAAACAATTACTTTGAATTGCTTTATCAGAAGCTATTTAATCCATTGCCTCTTTAAAATTATCAGAAGAAAGCTATTTAATCCATTGCCTCTTTAAAATTATTATCCAACAAGGCTATGAATGACAATCAGAAAGCAAGAATAATAGAAATTGCTAATTATTAGGAGTGTGGACAGTGGGAAATGTCTCTCCTCCCAAGTAGCATTAAGACTCTGACAGTGCAATTCCATGCAGTTTCTCTATTCAAGCTACTCTACTCAAGTTTCTCTACTCAAGTTTTGTTTTAGACTGGACAAAAGGTGGCACAGGTAATCACCAATGAAACTGACAAGACAGCATATTAGGGGCTGAAAGGATTTAATCATGCATGATTAAAAATCCTGTGCACACTTACCTGGGGAAAAGCACCACTAAGGGAACTCATCTTGTGACAGGACATTAGCTTAGATGGGTTTTAAAACAAAAGTTTTATTTCTCCTTTGTGTTTAGACAGCATTAAATTCTGTGCCACTGACTTTATTTATACCATTGTTTTATTCTGCAGAGTGCTTCACTTTATCACAGTACTTTATCTAAAAGATGTCCAGTATGGGGCACTGGCTTGTGTCAGCCTGGAATATCAGAGATGAAGGTTCAAATCCCCATTGTGCCATGACAGTTTCCTGGGTGACTTTGGACTGGCTACTCACTATCTCTCTGGCTAACCTACCACACAGGGTTGTTGTCTTGAGGAAAAAGTAAGACAAAAACTGCTTTGGGTCCCCACTGGAGAGAAAAGCATCATACAAACGTCTAAATATGGAGCTCGAGGAAGGTGCAGTTTAGGTAGAGAGCTCCTCAGAGATGTGAGTCCACCCGCCAAAGCTTCCATTTTCTCCAGAACGGAGTCTGGAGATTACTTGCAATTATGGGAGAACTCAAGGCTCAGCCTGGAAGTTGGCAACCATAAGCAAATGAATGTCTGTGGCATAGGCACACCAAAACCTATTAGAGGAGGAGACTGGATTTATATCCACCCTTCATTTGGCGTTTCAGAGCACAGTCTCCTTCCCTTCCTCTCCCCACAACGGACCCCCTGCGAGGTAGGTGGGGCTGAGAGAGCTTTTTTGAGGACCACTCTTGCAAGAACAGCTGTGAAAGAACTTGTGACTGACCCAAGGTCACACCAGCAGCTGCACGTGGAGGAGTGGGGAATCAGCAAGCATGGTCTCCATTACTGCCTATTGACAAGCGTGGGCTACATTATTCCCTGTGGGTAAGTGTGGTCTCCATTATTCCCTATGGGCAATCATGTTTTGTCTACCGGCAATCGCTGTCCTTACTTTTAGTACATCCCCCAGATGAGAGTCCGCTGCTCTTAACTACTACACCAAACTGGCTCTCTATAAGGAACCAAGGGGGGGAGGGAGGCTGCCAGCTCCAGGCTGAAAAATTCCTGGAGATATGGAGATGGAGCCTGGGGAGGGAGCTCAGTATTGGTGTGATACCAGAATCCACCCTCCAAAACAGCCATTTTTTTTTCTCCATTGGAACTGATGTCTACTCTGGAACTCTGGAAATCAGTTGCAACCAGTTGTTAAGTCGGTTACTTAACAAAGAGTCAGACAGTGATTTCAGCGAAAGATTAGCTTTATTCAGCAACTCATAACTCAACTCCAAACAGATCAACATGAATAGCCAGAACAGCTTTTACATTGAAGCTGTTCTACTTTTAAACTCTCCCGGCAAATATAGCCACGCCTACTATACAAATACCAACCTATGAGGTTGCAGGGATAAAGTCCAATCACAATAGAACTGGCTGTTGGTGATTGGTCGGCTCTTCCTGGGCTACCAATAACATTTGAGGGATTAGGATCCTAGCCCAGGAGGAAAGCTTCACATGGTGTTTCAATGACTGCGTTTCATACATACATTGGGGTCAGATTGAATACACCACACCAGTGTTCCCTCTAAGCTGAGTGAGTGAGAGCCAGCTCACAGTTTTTTAGCCTCCGGCTCACACATTTTTGTCTTAGCTCAGGAAGGAGGGCTCCAGAGCAACTTAAATATGCAGTAGCCAAATCGCTCGCTCACAACTTTAATGCCAGTAGTTCACAAAGTAGAATTTTTGCTCACAGGACTCTGCAGTTTAGAGGGAGCTTTGGTTATAACTCCCGGAGAACTCCAGGCCCCTCCTGGAGGCTGGCAACCTCGGGGCATACATGGAACCTCCATGAACAGAGGCAGGCTATCTTTTTAAGTACCAGGTAATGGACAGCAACCGCGGTGGGGGGGGGCACCTTCAGTTCCAGAAGCTACAAGTCAAAACCTTGGCCTAAGGGGGCTTTGGCGTGATCCAGGAAAGGAAACGATCACGGTTCGGTTCTGCCCTCTTCAAACACCGGAAAGGGGAAGGGACGAAGGGAGGCAGATGCCTTCTCGGGACCAACAGCGAGGAAAGTGGACCAGGGAGGCCTCCAGGAAGCCGCCGCCCTCTTCTCCCCCCCCCCCCCCCCCCAGCATTAGTGGGGGGGGGCCGCCACGTCCCCCCTCCCACCTCACCTTCAACGTCTCCTCAGCCGGCAACTTCTCCAACCGCTTCATGATTTCTTTTTTCCCCTTTGCCCCGCCCCCTTTCCGCTTGCCCCCCCCCCTACGAGGCGGGAGGCGAGCGAAAGGCGTGGAAGAGCGACGTGCGGCGAAACACGTGACCGCACCTTTGCTCCGCCCCTCCCAGGCCCGGCGGGGATCGCTTCCGCCTTGGCTGCCTCCTCCCTCTTCACAGTGACGAGAAGAAAGCAGAGCGCAGGCGCGAAGTTCGAGGCTCCGATTTTTTAATTTTTTTTCCCGTTATGGAGTCCTCGCCATCTCCCCCCTCCTCCCCGGTTGCCATGGGAAAGCAAGGAGGCTTGCGAACTAGCGCGGCCTGTAGAGGAAAGGTTCAGTGGAGAGGGACTGTTTTGCAGGCATGAAGTGCTAGATTCAGCCCCCGGCATCTTTGTTTTTAATCTGTGGAATATTTGAGGATGTTGCAAAGAACAGGTCCTTTCCCAAAGAAGCCGTGGAGCACTGCTTTGCATGCTAAAAGGTGCACGCTCGGCGGATCCGTGGCATCTCCAGTGGAAACGATTAGGAAGCAGTGTTCCCTCTAAGCTGAGTTAGTGCGAGCTAGCTCACAGTTTTTTAGCCTCCGGCTCACACGTTTTTGTCTTGGCTCTGGAAGGAGGGCTCCAGAGCAAACTAATTTATGCAGTCGCCAAATCGCTCGCTCACAACTTTAATGCCAGTCGCTCACGAAGTAGAATTTTTGCTCCCAAGACTCCACAGGGTAGAGGGAGCATTGCTGGTGACATGAAAAACCTCTGTGCTGCTGGAGTTCTGAATAGACAACGCTGCCTTGGCTAGTCCAAGGGTCTGACTGCATATGAGGCAACTTCAAAAATTAAAGGGACAGGTTCCCCCTGGCCTCTGGCGTGTGTGTGTGTGTGGGGGGGTGTTAGGATTTCCAGATCCAGCTTGGGAAACTCCTGGAGATTTTTGAGGATGGAGCCTGGGGAGGGCAGAGACCTCACTGGGTGAAATCCCAGAGTATCTTCCAAAGCATTCCTTTTCTCCAGAAGAACTGATCTCTGTAGTTTGGAGATGAACTGTAATTCCGGGCGATCCCAAGGTCCCACCTGGAGACTGGCATCCCTATGTTACTGATCTGAGTCTGTTCACAGCGGAAAGGCAGTCCTTTTCTGTTCATGATTCTGCTTTGATGGAGATGATTTTGAACTCATTTAAAACTCAAATCTGATTTTTTCACATGTGTGCCTCTGAGGATGCTAAAGGATGCAATCCTGCTGTTTTGAAGAAACTCCCTTTGAGTTTTAGTGTTGCATGATCATAACTGAAATCAGCATTTCATTTCATAATTTAAATCAGCAAACGGTCTGGTTTTCAACTGTAGTAAATGGGTTTATAATTTTAGTTTGTGTTTTTATGTTTGTGGTGATGTTACAGATCAGCTCAAACACAAACAAATTCTATCTCAGCCGAAGCTGTTACCAGTTTTTCAAGCAATACCAATAAGATTGGACCTTTTATTGGGACAGGATTTGTTGGTGAAAACTATGACAAGCTTTCTGGCTCCACACAAAAATTGCCTCTGTATCAAAAAGGAAAGATACACTATTTGACTATCTTGGGTCATTGTTCAAGTACTGTTCCACCAAAAAAATAATTGCAAACCAAACTCTGGTGAGAGTTGAGAATTGCTTGATTGGCACTTTCTTTTCCAGTTTAACATTTCATGAAAAAAGCACAACTGTCCAAAACAGATGGAAAAATAACTGAATGAGGAATATATGTGATATGCAAACTTAAAAGGACACACACCACTTCACAGTAAACCAGAAGAAAATGGACTTGGTTTGTATAACATTACTGATCAGGGACCTTTCTTGGAACCATCATTCCAGGGAATGTATGTTTGCAATATTAGACCGTGGTTTTGTCAAAGGTGGGTTCATGGGCTTGAATCTTATGACTCATAATGCAGAGGCCACTGCTAGAGTCAGTACTGAAACATAAGAATGACAAAAAGCGTAAGGTGGTTGGTTCTTTTCTGTTTTTAATGTTGGTCTATAACAGAAACAAAAAAGCTAGTAATACCTTTTATTAATAGCACAACACACATTTACAGATTAAACTGGGCTGAGTTTGGAATCATCTGGAATTCTAAAAGTGACAGTGTTGGCTTTCTGTCAGAGGAACTATTTATATACCTTTACTTAAGGACACATGCATTTGCAGAAACATTAATTAGGATGAAGACCAAATAATGAAAAGCATGGAATTCCCCCCCCCCCCGATTTTTCAAATAATCATTACATCATTTACAGCACTGCTGCATTCCATTGACTGTGTGTTTTTACAATACATTTTATTTTGCATATAAGACAATTGTTCCCCCCAAAACCATAGTGTTTTAAAATCTGCTTTAAAACCAAAATATAATTTAAGTGAGCTTTTGAGTTCCCTAAAACCCTCAGATTGGATGTTATGTCCCCAAGGGGGGGGGGATGTTTTAGGGCATGGTGGTATAGTCTGAAATCTGCAGTTTGTTCCTTTCTAAAAATGGGCGATGTTGAAACTCTGGTTGGGGGGGGGGTGGACTACAAAGAAGGAAACAGATTGAGTTGGAAAGTCTCTGTTGAAAACTACGAACACCAGCAGGATAAATGTTAACAGCAGGACAGTTTATCAAATGTGACTCACAAATTTATTTATTTATTTATTTATTTCACTTTTACCCCGCCCTCCCCTCTAGGCAGGCTCAGGGTGGCTTCCAGGAACTGACAAGCAGAGAGAAATTAAGAGATAAGCAGACGTTTAATCTTTTTAAATTAGATCACGGTTATGATTATTTTTAATGTAACCAAACAGGCCCTGTCGGAAGGCTCACATTCTAGTTAAAGTTGGGAGTGGTGAGCACACCATCAAAATGGCTGCCGTAGGAATACCTCTGTCCCTACTTTGCAGCCGTGGGAAACCCTTTCATTTGAATGAGGGAACCAATAACAGGCCCTAATTTACAATGGCTCCATCCACTTTATGAAACACTTAGTGGGCACCTAAAGAAGTGCTTCCAAAAGTGACATGTATGATCTTTCCACAGATATTGGTACAGGATAAATTCCAGATAAATACTTAGTATACTGCATATGAGAGAAGGTGGTCTTTAAGGTATGCTGACCCCAAACTATTGTACAGAGCTTTAAAGGTCAACACCAGCACTTTGAATTGAGCTCAGAAGGAATTTGGGAACCAGTGTAGGTGGAACAAGACTGGAGTGATCCTACAACCCACTCCAGTCAACACTCTAGCCACAGGATTTTGTACCAACTGTAGCTTCTGGACAGTCTTCAAGAGCAGTCCCAAATACAACATGCTGCAGTAGTCTAATCTAGATGTTACCAGGGCATGCACCACAGTGCCAAGGTCTTTCCTATGAATAGAAATGTACTGCTGGATCCCTATCATGTATTGATGCAAAGTATATAGTCATTTTAGTTAGGTGTTTTAGTATGACTGAAGTCACCAAAAATATTTTAATCCTATTTACTCATAATCATAGGATTCTCCAGAAAAAAAGGATGAGCAAAGAAGGGATGGCAGATTCTGCTAGTGGTGGAAAGTGCCATCAACTAGTATCAACCAGCTTATGACAACTCCATAGGGGTTTCAAGACAAGAGATGCTCAGAGGTGGTTTGCCATTGCCTGCTTTTACATCATGACCAGTGTTCCCTCTAAGCTGAGCTAGTGTGAGCTAGCTCACAATTTTTTAGCCTCCAGCTCACAGATTTTTGTCTTAGCTCAGGAAGGATGACTCCAGAGCAAACTGATTTATGTAGTAGCCAAATCGCTGGCTCACAACTTTAAAGCCAGTAACTCACAAAGCAGAATTTTTGCTCACAAGACTCCACAGCTTAGAGGGAACATTGATCATGACCCTGGTATTCCTTTGTGGTCTCCCATCCAAATACTGACCAGGGCCAATCCTGTTTAGCTTCCAAGAACTGACGAGACTGGGCAAGCCTAGGCTATCCAAATTGTGTGGCAGATTCTCCAGAAGAGAAAAGGAAGGGCCATTGTACCCATTAACCCTTTTCCAAAACACCAACAAGTTTACAATTTACATTTTATATGTTCCAGTTCAGAGTGGGTAGGTCACCATTTTTAGGGAGGCAATTGGCAGGCTCTTGCCTTCTATTTTGTATTTTTTTAAAATTAAAGAAATATAAAAGATGTGGAGCAACATTATCCCAAGTGTATTTTGAAATTCAGTTTGTCCTAACTCTCTGACTGGATCAAACAAGGGAACATTGGTCAGTGGTGGCTGTTTCATGAGCCAAAGCACAATTTGGGACACAATTCAGATCAGCTAACAGCTCAATATTTGGATGGGAGTCCACTAAGGAAGACTGGGGTTGTTACATGGAGGACGGCAATGACAAACCACCTCTGCTTATTTCTTGCCTGGAATGCCCTGTGGAAGGAGTTGCCATGGGACACTTGCAACTTGAGGGCACATTCTTACTCAGATGAGATCAACCAAATGGGAGACTGACTCATTGGGCCCAGTCCTCCTAGAACTGTCCCTGTTTCTTTCATTAGATCTTTTACACAAGAACTTCCCCATGGCTTGTACTCCAAGTAAATTAGTGGTTGAGTTTGTCATTTGGGTTTTGTTTTGCCTCTAGCACCAACATGACTTTAGCTTGTTGACAGGTATAAGTCTTCAGCATGTGTGATCCTAATTGACAGGTGTCTGACAGTCTGGAGAACCAGCACAAACCGGTTCTTACGGGAGCTAAGCTGAGCTATCTCACAGTAACTCAGCAGTAAGCTGATTGGCTGGTCAGTGTATATAAGTGTATGTAGTCTGTACATTGTATTCCCTTCTTTTTGTATGAGCGTATGGCGGAGCACTTTGACGGAGAGAGCTGTATATATTGGAAATATGTAGGTCAGTCCTCACGAGCACTTAGAACCCGGGTGCTTGAGCATAAATCAAGACTTAGACATGCTTGCCAAGATGCCCCCCTGGTACCTCATTTTCTGGAGGTGGGCTATCGCCCAGATGAGTT